TGAAAATAGGTAACAATATGACAGAGTGATCACAACTCGGAGAAGTAGTTAAGAGCAGGTAATTTGCCGAAGAGCTTGTGAAGAGAAATTTTAGATGCCTTGGCTTATGCTGCAAGAGCTATTTATAGTTGAGTGAATTGACAGTGCTTGCTTTTGCAAAGAGGTGAGGATGCCGAATGTTCTCGAAATTGGCGGATGTGGGGGATAGAAGGGGCTGGAAGGAGCTAGAAGGGGCGAGATTGAAGGGGCGAATTCGGGAAGTGAACCGCGACTTCGCGAGAATTCGCGCAACGTCGTTTGGAATTCTAGACGTAACCGGGAATATCTGGGTCACACAACCGTGCTTCTCCTGTGGCTGAACAGGATGAATGCGAGACCGAGGTAATTGGGCGATTTGTGAGACGTCGCAGAGTTTCGCCTGCGGTTGCAGAATGGAGATGTCATGTACCGCGGTCTGTGGCTTGAACTGGTGTGCGCTGAGAGAGGTTGCGCGCGCGCGAGACCGTGTCCTTCCGCGATGGAAGGGTTGCGCCAGCTTGACTGAGTGAAGGTTCTGTGATCTGGCAGGAGCCCAAAGGTGAAACTTCTCCAACGTGGACATTCTACCTGCCAGAGAAAATGCGGCACGTGGAGTGGCTTTCACATTGCGGCCGTATCACACCCGCTGGTTGTAAGTCGACACGTGGAAAACATATACACCAACGAGTACCAAGGACTAAGTTGAAGTGTGACAAGGCATACGATAGTTGAAGTCATAATTTGTTGCGTAATGGTACAGTAACACCCCCTTTCGGTATGTAATGTAAATGAAAATAATCACTTTTGAGAATAGTCAGAAGTGACCAGAACTCATAACAAGTGACCATCAACTCTTTGTCGCGAACAGACACCTCCGCCATGCCTGCTTCCTTTGCAGAAAACTCTCGTGGTGCTATCCAATAGCAGGGAAGCTCTCGCACCTCGACTTGGAGCGGCAGGACAAGCCGCACATTTCTCCAGGTGTCGCGACACTTCGTGACTCTCCTCGTGTGCCGTTCGATTAGTCCGACATGCCGCTCATGCAGCCAGTTCACGACACGTTGCAATTTCGCGAAATTCACCCTTGCTGGTACCTCCCTCCTTCCCCAGTCACCCAGCCCTTCTCTTCCTGTCCCAGAGTCACTGCGCCTACCTTCGTCCTTCCGTAGCGAATTCGCCCCTCCTCCAGTCCCTCCACAACCCCTTCTCCCCCCTTCGCTACACTTTTCTCGTAACTCGGTTCTTCTCTCCACTTCGCAAACCCATGACACCACCATCCACCATCCCTTTTCCCTGAGAGAATTACCGCGGCACTGGCTTTGGAATCTGGAATTGTTATTATCGCGTGGCGTTATTTTTATACACCTAACCGCGATCCCGCCACCTTTCATCCCACGCTTTCTCGCACGCGTCAGTTTGGCATGAATATAGCGAGTGTAGATGGCAGTGTAGGGTCAGATGGAAATTTCTACGTAGAGTAAGATGGAACATCTCCAACAATATTGGAACCGGACCACGAGCCCGTCAGTTCCAAACCTCCTTGGAGTTTGTTCAGGCAAGCTCGTTGTTCCTTCCAGGTTCCTGAACATATAAAAAGCCGCAGCGCGAACATGGTAATGCAACAGTCACGGCGTCACGATGAGTTGTGGAACACTAGACACGCCAGATTTCAACACCACCACAACCACCTCAGACGCTACTAACGGAACCAATCACGATGTCGCACGTAACTATGTCGATAATAACTTGGGGTTTAGAAAGCAAGGTGTGTCAATATACGCAGAGAATTACGTTCCGTTAAAGATCGATTGATAAATAAAACAGGTAGAACTGCATATGGCATAATACTTGTAACATTTGGTAAAAATTGAGTTGCATAATATTGTCTGATAACAGCTACTTTCTTCGTAGTTCCAATACGGTTTTGTATGTTCAGCTGTGTACTTAAATTAATGAAAATAAAGCAGCATATGATTATGAGTTTATCAAACATTTGATGTACAAGATAAATAAATATATCAAATATAGCAATGAACCATTATTGTCTCTAAAGATTGAATAAGGTGGATAGTTTCATGGTGCATCACTAGGCATACCAACGTCAAGAAATACGTAATGCATATACAAATTTACCTACATAATGGATTGGGATAACAAAGTTAACAAAGAAAATATTGAATGTAAATTTACAAAGTGTGAAATCATGTGCGCAGTAACATTATGATTTCCAATTTATCATAGTGATAATAATACTTTGATTTTACAAATAGAATGAATGAATGACAATAATAAAATTCATTATTAAGTAAAAATATAAATCCAATGTCAAAGTCTGCCACAATAAACAATTTACTTTACATGTTAGATCATATTGTGTAAGTTTCTCTCCCTGAATCCTTGAGTCATGCAAATGCTTGCAAAAGAGTGACCAGCGTTCTCTCTGTTAATACAAGATAAATTTCTATCGTATATATCAATCAGACGTTTGTTACCGTGGAGGTGTGCACAATAACATTTCTGCATATCTGTGGCGAATCGTTAATTATCGAGCGATCAAGGGATTTTGAGCTTCTACCAACGGGGAGCGATGGAGCAGTTCACAAACTTGGTTTGACTCAACAATTTTTTATCGACCAGTCACAGCGCGGAATTCCTGTTCACATTGCGAGTTCGCAGCTGCTCGAACTGACGGACACGGACTGCGCTGATTGGATAATATCCAGACTTGTTCTGAATACGCAACGCGAACATGTTACGAACATGTTACGAACAGGTCACGAACATGTTACGAACAGGTTACGAACATGTTCTGAATAAGCTGACGCGGCTGAAGCACAGGACAACCAATCTCCCACCGACATTTCGAGAGCTGAGCTCTTGCCATCTGGAACACCTCAGCTCGAGAAGGTGCTCACGACTCGAGCGATCAAAGCACGTGGCGAGACTGCTCACGCCACAAGGAGTCAAGCGAGAGGATTGGGCCAAATCAGCACGCATGATAAAATACAGCGAACTGACTGAAATGAAGAAAACATATCGATCGGAGTCGTTATCAGAACGGTGTGAAAATCATTCTGGATCGACGTCGTTAATAAATCCGCGCTAACATTCTAAATATTTGCCAGCGAATCGCAACCTAGCTGATTCGCAAAAATGATTGAGGGAAAACACAAAATTGTTAGCGCCTCGTTAAACAATAAGGAATTGTAAGCAATGTTAGAACAGTTAGCACTAGAGATAGCACAAAATAGAGACTACATAACTGTGTGTTTGTGATCACGAAAATACATATTTACTAAGAACGTTTTCCCCTCGTAACACTGCCAAAAGATTTACTCTGACTACGGAAAATCTGCCTACGTCGACGGAAGGAGCTTTGTCAGTGTCACCTTGTTGCTCAAGACTCATACTCTCTCGACAAACTCGGACCCTTGGTCAGGCAATCGTGAAAAGTAGTTAAAATTTAGAATCAATCTCAGGCTATTATACAGACAGAAATGAGTGTTTTCCTATAGGGCTTGTGTATAAGTTTGTTTTTGATACCTATAATTGGGGATTGTTTACATTGTTAATAATATTTCCTTCTTATAGATACTTACCATCTACTGATAGAAATTTTGTCAAATGGTCGCTGCAGATATTATCGAATACGCAAAGATCATTTTTTTCACAATTTAGCATACAGTTGAACATGTTCACTTCGATATTATGACGCGGCGCTAACTCATTGGCTGGTAAGTTCTCAAAGTGTTGGTTTGAAAGTTTGAGCAGATAGGGACGAGGCGGCCTGTGATTGATGGATCACGTCAAGTGCGATCTGTTTTTTTAACACAACTATAAAACCTTGCGCGTGGCATGAGCAAGTAGGAAAACAATGAGTGTCTGACACCTACGTGCCAGATGGGCGCGTCAAACATTGCCGAACCAAATTTCCACACTCTAAAGAACGAACGAATTAGCGAGTCGTAGACACACGCGTGGAAAACCAATGTGTCGTCAAAAGATTTTCAACCTGAAACTGCAATCTGCCCACCGACAAACTGTCGAGCCCGAAAAACTCCATTTTAAACTGTTAATAAATGTCAAAATGACACGTGCGCAGAAACCGCGTGATGAAAGGTGGAGGGATCGCGTTTCGGGTTTTTGAAATAATGCCCCGCGATAATAAGAATTCAAGATGCCTAATCCCTGTGCCGCGGTAATTTTCTCCTTTTTCCTTGACTCCATCCTTTCCAAGCCGGAGTCGCGCACACTCTGTCCCGCACAAGGGACAATAGACTTGGCCGGTTTGCTGCTGGCGAGGTGTCTACGCCTTGCGGGTCCGCCAAGCATCTCTGAAGCGCCTCCCAGAAGTCGGGACCGACTGTCGGAGCGTGCTTTCTAAGTGGACCGTCACGCTCTGAGTACAGCATTACATCTACGAGGTGGGATTTTTAGCTCTTACTAACAAGTCTAGGCTATTTGATCCGACCAGATCAACCCATTTCCCTCCCCGAAATAGGTCGCTCTGGTTCTTGTCTCCCAAGCTCTTATATTTCTGTTAGAACGGATAGATTTCATTCAGTCGAACGTGTGACACAAGTAGTTCGTTTAGACGTCGGCAATCAGCATTGAGTAGAGTTGAGTCGTCGACGTACGATGATGATGATGTCGAATTCCGCGTTAAGCTTGGGCCAGGCCGATCTGGATCTAGGCGTTCGCCGCGCTTTGCTGGATTCTCGTAGTAAGCTCCCAAAGCCAGCTAGAATTATCAATAGATCCGTTAGCGAACGCGGCAGTTGCACGGAGTCTCCTTTGCGCGGTTTTTTGTTCTCTTTCTCGTCACGAGTTATCCTTCCGTAACAGAGTCCCTCCGCGTTTGTGCTATGCGCGCGAAAGGTCTCGTCAGCGATTTATTCCTATTTGACAGAATTTTCTTGCGTAATTCCATTTTTATTTGCGTGACAGGCTCGTCGGCGCTGGGAAACGGGAGCTTGGATCGCATGCCGCAACCCGCCGCTGTCAACACTCTCCGCTCAGCTGGGAGCGGTTCCATACACTCCGGCGCGGCGCGTGCCATTCCGATAACTCGGGAGGCCGCATTCAGCCGTCGCGCTCTCCACGTGCCAGCGTCAGTCCGGCTCGCGCCGCCCTCCGCAGCGTCGACCACGGCCTACGGCGCCAGGGGACTGACGGGCGTGCCGAACGAGTTCAGAAGCCAGGTACGTCTCAAAGCAAACTCTCTTATCGCCACGGACGGCGGGCGTCCCGAACAAGGACGGCAGTTTTCTGCGTCGGCGCTGATAGAAGGAGTTGCACTGGTAGCGCGGATAGTAGGAGTGCGGCCGTGGTCCCGTTCTGGCGCGCCGAACTCACGATCCGCTCAATCTGGCGCGCCTAACCGCGATGCGCTAAATCTGGTGCGCGAGCTGATTCAATTTAAATGCACTGTGATGTTTGTGCGCGTTGTCGTGTATCTCAGGGCACAAGCGGAGGTTTTTTTTTGCCGCGTGGATTCACCGGAAAAACAAAGAGGGGAGCTGCGGTGACCGCTGCGGTTTTTGGTCCGAACGACGCGAAAGGTGAATGACGGTTGTGCTATTAAAAGTCTCTGAAGTCAGCCTTCATGTCAGCCGACGAAGTATCTCTGAAGTGTTTAAAAAATGCTTTGCTCTCTGGTCGCGAATCCTGCGATCGTCTCACCTTCTTTGTCTGCGACGCCGTTTTTCGCGCAGGCCGGTCCCAACGATCGCCGTCGCTGCGTCGCAAGCTGTTGTCGTCATCAAATTCCGCCGGGGGAGAGCGGGGCTGCACGGATCGCGACGGACATCGCACGGATCGCGCCGCCTCCGGTGCAGCTGCGGCAGGGAGCAGCAAGGGGAGTAGGAGCCGCGAGGCTAGGAGCAGCAAGCTTCGCGCGGGCTTGTTTTCCGAGACGTCCGAGGAAGGTCGCGAGAGACGCGAGGGACGCGACGAGGAGCGAGGCGAAGAGGCGACGGAGACGATGGAGCCGGGTGCGACGGAGAGCGATCTTGCGCGACCGTTGCTGTCACAAGGTGAGGGCGCGTGGCCCTGAATTTTGCTTCGTTTCGAGAAAATTTGAGATAAATCATTTGCTTGGATATGTGATCTGATCTGGTTCGAATTCGATGCGCGACTGTCTTCCTTTAGGCATTCTATCCTACTAATAAATAGTTGCTCGTTCGGGTTCCACGATCTCGACAGGCATGCCATTCTCACATCCCTTCCTAATTATTATTGGCAGGGCTACCAAGGAGGAAGGAACAGCAAGGAGGGCGGAAGGCTTTGGGAGGGGCAGCGCCACGAAAGGCGCTGGCGTAGCGAGGAGTGTTTCCACATGTGCTCACTTCGTCAATAATTGCGTTCCTGTTCGGTTACCACATGTCGTAAGTAACACTTTTGTTTGGAGAATAAGATTCATTTGTATACTTTTGTCGAAGTGTGCCCAATTGATTTTGTACCAATACTATGCTCTGGAGTTTTTTTCTGTTGTCTACCCTCCGTTTACAATGTACAGAGTGGTGAATGGACCATTGGAATTCATGGCTGTCGAGCTGTTGTTTGCCGAAAATGCTCTCGCCAAAGGTAATATCTCTACGGCAAATAATATTAATTTCCCATGCTCTCGTTCATTTAGTGCTTGCATTGTATTCCAACTTGATATTGCGTTACCGGCATTTTAGTTTCTTCTCTCTGCAGCTTCAGTTGTGAATGCGCTTCGACCAGGAGCGTGTGCGAGGTGCGACTTATTTAGCACGTTCAATAACAATGCCTTTTCCCCCATGCCTTGTCATACCTTGTGCAGCTTCTGTCGTCAGTGTTTTTCTACTGGGAGCGTTCCTGGGTTGTTCCGCCAGCAGCACGGTGGCTGACAGCGCGGGCAGGAAGAAAGGATTTCAGATCTGCAGCGTGCCCATCCTGATTGGCTCCATTCTCTGGTGCGTGTGTTTCTTAAATACCAGATTTATCGTCTTGTTGGGTTTCATGCCTCACGTGCCTGCAGATGTTTTTCTGTGATCACTTTTCGCTGATTCAAAGTTTCATCTCTTCTTTATTTAATTTAATTGTGTGTGTAACCCACCAGTGCCATGGCGTCATCACTCTCTCTGGTCGTCACCGGCCGATTCCTCTTGGGCTTTGGTCTGGGCATGGCCATACCCATTATGGCTCTCTACATTCCCGAGGTGTGTATGTGTGTGCGTGTGTATACATACCTTGCGTCTTTCCATGTTAATGCACGCAATTGTCAGATGTTTGTTTGTTTGTTTAGGGTTGGAGATTTTAAAGGCATGAAGTGTCCTCTTCCGGTTGGTGTGAATTCGTGTCCTAAATGGTTGGTGAACCTCCGTATGCATCTTTGGCTACCTGTGTGTTGCGTTACAGCGGGATGCATCCTTGGCTACAATCGCCAGATGACTTTTGAGTCGACTCAAAAGTCATCTTTGGCTACCTGTGTGTTGCGTTACAGCGGGATGCATCCTTGGCTTAGTCGCCCCCTCTCTCCTCTCTGCAGGTCTCTCGACCACAGAAGAGAGGCACGTTCGGCGCCATCCCCCAAGTCCTCAATGCACCGGCATTCTGGCCCAACTGCTTGCTGCTCCGATACTTCATTACAGGGCCTGAAACTGAATCTCTTTCAACCCCTTGTCGCCTCTCTCCCCCATCGTCTCTCCTCTTTTCCAGATCTCTCCACCACAGCAGAGGGGCACGTTCGGCGCCATCCCTCAAGTCCTCACATGCACGGGCATTCTGGCCGCCCTGCTAGCTGCCGCTCTCCTGCCCGCCTCATCGTAAGTTACCTCCCCACTACTGCCGCTTGGCTCTTACTGCTTGGCGCTTGCTGCTTGGCGCTTGCTGCTTGGCGCTTGCTGCTTGGCGCTTGCTGCTTGGCTCTTGCTGCTTGATGCACTGATCTTTCTGCACTACGCTTGCTACCCTAAGCTTACTCATGCGATAAGTGCCGCTGTTTGCTTGTTTCCCGCCTTGTCGCTTCTCCCCCCTGGCCTTTGCTCCTCGAGGCGCATGTGCTTCTGAACTCACTTGTCGTCTCTTTCTCACATCTTTCTCGCATCTTTCTCACCTGTTTCGATGTCTTCTCGCCGCTCCTCTTGTGCAGGTGGCGCATGTGCTTCTGGATTGCTGCAGTGCCAGCAGCGCTGTTCTGCATGGCGTGTGAATTCCTGGTGGACAGCCCAAGGTGGCTGGCGCGGCACGGGAGGATCCAGGAATGGAAGGTGAAGGGGTGGTTGTAATGATTCAGATACAGCTTTGTCAGCTGGCGCAGTTCTCTTCTGCATGGCGTGTGAATTCCTGGTGGACAGCCCAAGGTGGCTGGCGCAGGTGAGGGAAGGGGACGAATGCAGAGTGAAAGGGGGGCTGCTGCCACTGGCAGCAGGCAATGGTGCCAGCATCACTGCCAGTCTCCCTCTCATCTCAAGCTCTCTTCTCCCCAACCCTCCCAACCAGCACGGCAAGTGGTCCGAGGCAGTAGCAGCGGTCGAACAGCTACTCGGAGAGGCGAAGGTGAAACCTACCTTCAGCATGGCAAGTGGTCGGAGGCAGCAGTAGCAGTATCCCAGCTATTGGGAGAGGCGAAGGTGAAAGAGACCATGGATGATCTACACCACTCCTTTGGCCAGTCAACCCTCTCATCTCCCTCTCTCTTCTTTCAAACTTTCCCCCCCACTCGCTGCCCTGCCACTCCCCTGCCACTCCCACCCCCTAGCACGGCAAGTGGGAAACACACGGAAGCAGCGGTGGCACAGCTTCTGGGAGAGGCGAAGGTGAACCCCACCATGGGCGATCTGCACCACCCCTTTTGACAGAGGCAGTCACCCCCTCTCATCTCCATCTCTCTTATCCCCCACTCTCTCCCTGCCCCTACCCCTACCACTCTCACAGTTACTGGGAGAGGCGAAGGTGAAACCCACCATGGACGATCTGCATCACTCGTTTGGCAAAGGCAGTCAGCCCCCCTCATCTCTTCCTTTTTCCTCCCCCACTTTTGAGGCGCCTCAAAAACAACTTTTGAGGCGCCTCAAAAGCAGAGGCAGTCAGCCCCTCTCATCTCTTCCTTTTTCCTCCCCCACTCTCCCCCACCCCCCTGCCCTGCCACTCCCCTGCCACTCCCCTGCCACTCCCCTGCCACTCCCCTGCCACTCCCCTGCCACTCCCCCCAGCATGGCAAGTGGGCAGAGGCATCAGCAGCGGTGGCACATCTTTTGGGAGAGGCCACAGTCAAGCCCACCATGGACGATCTGCATCACTCCTTTGGCTGGTGAAACCCTCTCATCTACCTCTCTCTTATCCCCGCTCTCCCCTACCCCCCTGCCCCTACCTACCCCCAGCATGGCAAGTGGGCAGAGGCATCAGCAGCGGTGGCACATCTTTTGGGCGAAGCGAAGGTGGATTCTACCATGGATGATCTGCACCACTCCTTTGGCGGAGGAGGCAGGCATTAGGGTGCATGGCAGAGGCATTTACCCCTCTCAACTCCTTCTTACTCCTCTGTATCATGCCATCCCCCCCAGCACGGCAAGTGGACGGAGGCAGAAGCAGCGGTGGCACAGCTTCTGGGCGAAGCGAAGGTGGATTCTACCATGGATGATCTGCACCACTCCTTTGGCGGAAGCAGCAAGGGGTGTGGTGCTGGGTGGGAGGCTGGGGCTAAGGGGGAAAAGAAGGAGGGGAAGGGGGAGCAGCAGGGGAGGGTGTATGCAGTGTTGGGGGAAGGGGAGAAGGGGAAGGGGGTGGCTGTGGCGGGGAAAGGGGAGGAGGAAGGTTTGGTGAAGGGCGGGGGAGTGGTCGAGAAGGTGACTTGGCGAAGCCTCTTCTCCAAGCGATACGTGCGCGGTGAGTTGGAGGAGGGTTGTTGTACGCAGTGTTGGGGAAAGAGAGAAGGGGAAGGGGCTGGTGTTTGGTGTTTGGGCTTGGTGTTTAGAGATTTCTATCAGAACAGCTCTATTCTACATGCAGCAACTCAGCGGCATCAATGCCGTATTCTTCTTCTCCTCATGCCTCCCTTCTCCTCCGTTCTGTGTCTTCCCTCTCTTTTCCCTCCTTGTATTTCCCCCCCCCTCTCCAGTGGTCACCATTGGGGCGACCCTCTTCGCCCTACAGCAACTCAGCGGAATCAACGCTGTATTCTTCTTCTCTTCGCACCTCTTCCTCCTTGTCAACCCACCCGTTCCCTCCTCTTTCCCAAAACCCCCTTTCTTCCCCCCCAGTGGTCACCATAGGAGTGACCCTCTTCGCTCTCCCCCAACTCAGCGGCATCAACGCTCTATTCTTCTTCTCCTCGCACCTCTTCCTCCTTGTCAACCCACTCCCTCCCTCCCCTTTCCCGAAACCCCCTTTCTTCCCCCCCAGTTGTCACCATCGGAGCAACACTATTTTCTCTGCAGCAACTCAGCGGCATCAACGCTGTATTCTTCTTCTCCTCGCACCTCTTCCTCCTTGTCAACCCACTCCTTCCTTCCCCTTTCGCAAAACCCCCTTTCTTCCCCCCCCAGTGGTCACCATAGGAGCGACCCTCTTTGCCCTGCAGCAACTCAGCGGCATCAATGCCGTATTCTTCTTCTCCTCGCACCTCTTCAAGTCGGCCGGCATCCAGTCCGGCGCCATGTCCAGCGTTGCCATGGGCACACTGAATCTAGTCGGTAAGTCCATATGTGTACAGTGGACACTATACTCGTTACCATCCAGTCCGGCGCCATGGCCAGCGTTGCCATGGGCACACTGAATCTTGTTGGTAAGCCAAGGGTTTGGTCAAACTAGTGGGTAAGGTCTGGAGGTTCTAGTCTAGATTGTGCTTTGTTCTTCTTCTCCGCGCACCTCTTCAAGTCGGCCGGCATTCAATTTGGCGCCATGGCCAGCGTTGCCATGGGCACGCTCAATCTAGTGGGTGAGTGTACATGACGTCTGCATTGAGTTGTGTGGGTGTTGGCATGTGTGTGGGAACCACACTCCACCCATTTCTTCTTCTCCTCGCACCTCTTTAAGTCAGGCATCCAGTCCGGAGCCATGGCCAGTGTTGCCATGGGCACTCTGAACCTAGTGGGTGAGCTCTCATACCTCCAAGGCCCACCTCACCTCTCCCTACTGTCTCCTTGCACCTCTTCAAGTCGGCCGGCATCCAATCCGGCGCCATGGCCAGTGTTGCCATGGGCACCCTGAACCTAGTGGGTGAGTGTTCATGTGTGCATCGGAGTGCTGGGTGACAGCATGTGCGTGGGCACCCCATCCCACCCACCTCTTCTTCTCCTTGCACCTCGTCAGGTCGGCTGGCATCCAATCCGGAGCCATGGCCAGTGTTGCCATGGGCACGCTGAATTTAGTGGGTGAGTGGTATTGTGCACGCACTGTCTTCCGCACATCTACGAGAAGGGTCACCCCATTCAGTTCTTCTCATCGCACCTCGTCAAGTCGGCTGGCATTCAGTCCGGCGCCATGGCCAGTGTTGCCGGTGAGCTGTTGTGCATTCATGAGCTTTCAGGTTTTTGCCACTCCGCTTCGTAACCCCTTCCCTCTCCTCCCGCCAACCCTGCCCCTTCCACTCTGCTTCTTAGGGCGTGTGTGAAATGTTTTAGGCTCGTAATTTAGGTCGAACTTTAGCTGGTTACCGCGTTCGCCAATGTCGCCGACACGGTTGGCGAAATGCACTTCAAATCGGAAACACACAAATGCGACCAGCAAAAAGTGAACAAGGCTCGAATCTAAGCACGAACGTGAGAGTGCACGATGAGCCGAACTTGTGTTATTTTGGGCACGCAAGAGACGTTGACGAATTTCGTGATTTGTTCGTGCACCAATGAACGCACCACTGAAACCAGGTAAACATATCGTCTCGCAGAGATAGACGAAACCAGGTAACCTAAATAACCTACGGGCGGCTCGGCTCACCCCCTGTAAGGTCGAACGTGCAAAATCGAACGTGGGTGTGTGGTTGTGCTTCAACCGTTTGCGAGACGCGCGGATCGAACTTTGCCGTCAACGAAAGTCGAATTTTGTTCACCTCATGTTCAAATGCTACATTCGATCTTAAAACGCAAACTTATACAAAAAAAAAAAATCACACACGCCCTTAATCCCTTCCCTCCCCTCCTCCCCCTTCCCTCATTGTCTCACAGCCTCTCTGGTGTGTTCTGCTCCCATTGACCGTGTGGGCAGGAAGGCCCTCATTACTAGCCCTTGGGTCACCTCGCAACTCATCCTTTTCTTTCCCTGCCCTCCGTTTCCTTTCTTTCTTTCTCTTCATGGAACCTCTCTGGTGTGCTCCACCCTCACTGACCGCGTCGAGAGGAAGGCCCTCAATCACAGCTAGCTCTGTAGACCGTTGGGTTTCAAAAGGCTATCACAACTCATCCTTTTCTCTCCTTGGTTTTCCATTCCCTTTCTTCCATTCTCTTGCAGCCTCGCTGGTGTGCTCCGCACTCATTGACCGCGTCGGCCGGAAGGCGCTCATCACAGGGAGCTTCATTGGAATGGTGAGTGCAAATCACCCTCTTCTCCCACCGAGATCCAGACATAGCTCAGTGAGCTGCGTGCGTTCAGGGGGCTTAAAGCAAAGGAAAAACAGCGGTAGATTCCCTGAGGGTGCAAATCACCCTCTTCTGCCACCGTATGCTATTGAAACACAAGTGCTACAGCAGCTGCATCACCTGCTGACCCAGCCACATCACCCAGCAACAGCGGCATTGAAGCAGCAGCAGCAACAGCAGGACTGATTTGTGAAGCTTCGCATGACTTCACAATAGTGACAGTTACACATTTTTCACCCTTTTGCAGCAAGAACAATTACTGGACTCAGCAAACAGATTCGCCAACGAAACTTTGGTGTGCGAGCATCAGCTTTTGTTTGCGCATCAGCTTGTGCTTGCGCATCAGCTTGTGCTTGCGCATCAGCCTGTTTGCGCATCAGCTTGTGCTTGCGCATCAGCTCGTGTTTGCGCATCAGCTTGTGTTTGCGCATCAGCCTGTGCTTGCGCATCAGCTTGTGTTTGCACATCAAAGTTTCGTTGCCGAATCTGTTTGCTAAATCCAACGATTGTGCCTGCTGAGGCGCAGCGGAGGTCATGCCTGTCTATTGAACCGAAAAGAAACTTCAACATTCGAATCCTCTTATGTTGCCACTGCTGCTGCTGCTGCTGCTGCTGCTTCTTTTTAGACTGCATTTCCCTGAATGGCACCTATGGTTTAGCTGTTTATTTATTCCCTCATCCTTGATCCTCTCTCCTTAAACCTTTTTCAGGGACTGTGCATGGCAGTGCAAGCAGCAGCACAGGTTGTACCATGGATGGCTCCTATGGCTCCGCTCATCACGCTCACTGCCACCCTCGTGTGAGTATGGCGTAACAGTGTTTGAGTTCGGTTGAGTGTGATTGAGTGCAATTAAGTGCAGCTGAGTGTGGTTGGTTGGGGTTGAGTGGGCAGCAAATTGTAGAAAACTCTGGGCACTGTGGTTGTTGTGGGGAGTGGAAGGGTGGATTATACTGTGTGGTAAAGCTCGCTGCTCCCTCCCTCCTCCCTTCCCAATACCCTCCCTCTCACCTCAATCTCCCCTCTCGTTCCCGTCCACCCTCCTCCCCCCTCCCGCAAACAGATATGTAGCCTGTTTCACCATGGGAGCCGGGCCTGTGCCGGGCCTGATGCTACCTGAGATGCTGCCAAACCACATCCGAGCCAAGGGCATGGCCTTTGCCATGTGTGTGCACTGGGTACGTCATGACATTGTGATTTATGGTCATGGTGTATAGAGTGTGGCCATTGGTGCCTGAGATGGCGCCGAACCACATCGGAGCCATGGTCATGGTGTATAGGGCATAACCTTTGCCATGTGTGTGCACTGGGTGAGTGAAAGATGTATGGTGGATGGTGCATGGGGCATTATCCATGGTGCATGTGACAATATGCATCAGGTATGTGATGGAGGATGCTTTATCGTTGTACTCTGATGATGATGGTGGGCATGGCTGGTGGGCATGGTTGGTCGCAAGTATATATTTCTATCATCTATGATAGGAAACACCTCTCATTTCCTTCTGATCCTGCCTCTCTACCACATCTTCTCCTTTTCTCCAGGTCTTCAATTTCATGGTCAGTTTCTCCTTCCTCCCTCTTATGGCTCGCTTTGGCCAAACCACCCTCTTCTCATTCTTCGCCTGCGTATGCTTCGCTGGTGCACTCTTCACCGCCACATCTCTTGTGGAAACAGCGGGTCGCTCTCTAGAGGAGATAGAGGAGCAGCTGCTGCCACCAGCTTAGGGAGGGCCATGTTAAGGGCACCTTAACATATTCAAATGTTAAGGGTACCTGTGTTTCAACTTGCACATGCACATGCCTGTGTCCGTCATTCTCGTTCTACTAAAAGCAGTATGGGAATATGTACATGCATGGAATTGCACATGACGGGCGTTGATACGGTGTAATGAAGCAATGTACATATGTACACTATGTACCATATAGGTTATAGTATGTACAGTGAATACGGTAGCAGCTGGTCATGACGATATATCCCAATTAAAACATGTGAAAGATATCATAGCTGATTGTACGGTATCCCAGATTTTGCTTATATGCCATAAAATTTCTGGATTGTAGCCTGATTAGCAATTTGTAAATCACATTGAATCGAATCCGTGCACTGCTGTGCTCGACATACTGTATCACCCTGGATATTAGCGCATATGCGTTTATAATAAAACGAGGGGGCGCTTGTAATTGAGTCTAGGGCATAAGCGCATGCGCTTATATAATGACAAATACAAACTTATATATTTAGATCACCAAACTGTACATTTCATTTGTGCCATTTCAATCGAGTCGATTTTTGGAGCCACCAAGCAGAATCGCTTATAATATGTATAGGTTTTCCAGAAGGGGCGCTTATAAATGAGGACCGGCCATAAGCGCATGGCTCCAGATAGAAGTGCCGGCGCTTTTAATAGGAAGGCGCTACTATCCGGGGTGATATCGGTGGAACTGTACAGGAGGCCTTATTGAAGGGCCTAATTTATCCCTGTTAAAATAAGAAGACAGGAATGATGAATGACTAGCAATAAGGAGATACAATTATGAAACCCTAACTATGGTTGTAATCTATACTGAGCACCTCACTGTAGCCTAGCAGAACTAAGAACATAAAAATATGTTTTGACACACCCCCCTAGGCAAAGTGAGGGATAGCCAACACAACAAACGGTCACAAGACCAGTCAGGCAAGAGAACAAAGCAATGCAAAGCCCAGGGCGGATCTCAAGATCACCACTCATTTTGAGGACAAGCAAGCGGCCACAAGGCCAGTTCACATGCAGAGTTATAATAGCAAGGCAGTACACTGATCACAACCTAACAAGAGTAGACATGCATGTATAAGATCGATATCAGTGTACAACAAGTGCAAGATCAAGAGACAAGAAGGTGAGGTAGAATGGGTAGAAGCCCAAGAGCAGTGCAAAAACGCCGAAGATCACCAGACCGGAGGGCCTTGGTGAAGACATCAGTAGTGTTGGCCCGAGAGGCCACGTAAGAAAGACGAAGTTGACCACGCTGCTGCAACTCTCGAGCAAGAAAGTAGAAAAGAGCAATGTGCTTCGTTCTGTGCTCCAGTCTCTGCTCGTGCCATAAGGCAAGCATGGCCTTGTTGTCGACGTATAGAAGTGGAGGAGAACAAGGCCACTCACCCAAGTCGGTCAACAGGTAGGTCAGCCAACGTAGCTCCTGTGCAGCCATAGCCCCAGCGTAGATCTCGGCCTCACAGCTGGAACCAAGCACAAAAGAAGAATGAGTGGACCCCCACGAAACAAAACTAGAGCCAAGACTAAAGGTGTAACCCTGGGATGAACGCTGAGTCGCCCGGTCGTCGGCCCAAGAAGCGTCCGAGTGTCCTGTGAGTACCACTGAACCCCGTCCTCCAAGCACGAGCCCTATGCCCGATGTACTACACAAGTAACGTAGTACCCTCTTCGCAGCATCCCAGTGCACCTTTCGGTGTCTACTGAGAACCACGTAGCAAGCCAGGAGGCTGAGAGGGTACGCGGGGTCAGGTCGTGTGCACATCATCAGGTACATGAGGCAACCCACAAACTCTTGATATGGACCACTAGGCTCTACGGACTCGTTCGAAGGTGGAGCTGAGACCGAGTGGGCCGTAGGCAGAGGAGTGGGCTGTGGCGAGGAGTACTAGAAGCCGAAGCGCTGAAGGACCTGGTGCACCATGTGTGACCGAGTCAGGGTGATGGTGCGCCGTGCTCTGTCCCGGGTGATGTGCAAGCCAAGATAGCCCCGCAGCTCAACCAGGTCAGTGCAAGTGTGTCTCTCCTGTAGCTCCGCCTTCAGTAGGGCCAGCGCCTCAGTGTCAGCAGTAGCAAAAACCAAGTCGTCGACATACACGAGAACGTAGAACGGCGGCCGAGAAGTGTCGGTGCGTAGAAACAGCGTCGGGTCAGCAGAGGAAGGAGCAAACCCAAGAGCCGCAAATGTAGTCCTCAGTGTGTCTTGCCACTCGCGGGGTGCCTGGTGGAGACCATAGACTGGCCGCCGGAGGCTCCACTGGGTACCTGCAGGAAACGACCCAGTGAAGCCAGGTGGGCGGCGCAGCCAGATCTCCTCGTGAAGGCTGCCCTGCAAAAAAGTTGTGGAGAAGTCGAGGGAGTGCAGCTCGTAGTTACGCTGTGCTGCAACGTGCAGCAACACCCAAAGAGTAGTCACCTTCGGGGTGGGGGAGAAGGTCTGGAAGAAGTCGACCACCTGTCGCTGACTGAAGACTCGAGCAACGTAACGCACCTTGAAGGCAGGCGGAGAACCCGGCGGCCGCTTCACTATGAAAATCCACATGACATCGATTATGTTCGCCCCAGGAGGAGGAACCTCGTCAACGTAGGTGCCTGTGGACTTCCAGGAAGCCATCTCTGTGTCCATGGCTGACTGCCACTGAGAGGAGTACTCACCCGCGATCACCTTAGCATAAGAGTGCGGGGTAGGGATGTCAGGTGCATCCGGGTCTCCCTCAGGGCAAAGCAGCATGGATGCGAAACGAGGTAAAGCGGCCGCAAGACATTCAAGCTCAAACTGCCTGTCCTCAAGGACGTCACAACCAAGGGCAGGCTCACCCCCAAGGGACGGAGGACAGACAAACTCAGTAACAAGACTCGCGACGTAGTCATGAAGGCGTCTCGCAGCAAAGTCGACTAGCTCAGTGACTAGGGCAAACGCAGCAGCGGACTCAAAGTCAGGGTCAGTGACGACAGTAGCAAGGAGACGAGTGACAGTAGGTCTGGCAGCACGAGCAAGGTTGGACGCAGGGTCAGAACCGTCAGGAAGAGAGGACGCCGGAGGAGACGGCAGGGGAACACGCTGTGGAATAGAGGAAGGACGAAGTGGCATAACGTGAGTGCCTGGGATAGGAGGAGGACGAGGACGAGCAACACGACGAGCACGGACAGGTGTGGAAGCACGAGTCTCAGGCCCAGAACGCTCAGTTAGGGACTCAGTCACCTCAGTGTGAGGAGCAGGAGCAGGGAGCGGGGAGCCAGGCAGAAGCTGTGGCTGAGACTGGTCTGTCGGTGGACACAGGAGAGGTGGAGTGAGGCCAATAGAAGACGGAATACTAAGAACCTGGCAAAGGGCCGAGTCAGGCGGTGGCAGAGTCGACTGCGGCTGCGAGTAGAAAAACGGTCGGCTCGGCGCAGTACCCGTACCGTCAGCAGCTCCAGCACCTCCAGTACCTCCAGTACCTCCAGTAGCACCTCCAGCACCTCCAGCACCAGCAGCACCACCAGCTCGAGCAGCTCCAGCACCTCTAGTACGAGCACCTCCAAGACCAGCAGCTCCAGCACCTCCAGGACCTCCAGTACCACCAAGTCCAGTACCTCCAGCACCAGCAGCACCACCATCTCCGGCAGCTCCAGCACCTCTAGTACGAGCACCTCTAGGACCAGCAACTCGAGCACCTCTAGGAGCTCCAGTACCACCATCTCCGGTGCCTCTGCACCAGCAGCAGCTCCAGCACCTCCAGCACCACCAGCTCAGCAGAACCTCCAGTAGTACCTCCAGCACCACCAGCTCCAGCACTTGCAGCACCTCCAGCAGTACCTCCAGCACTAGCAGCTCCAGCGTCTAGGTAACTCCAAGCTCGAGCACCTGAGCGGCCTTGCCGAATGACACACTCACGAAGCTTCTGCGGTGAGGGTGTCTCGAGTCAACTAGGTGGCTGCTGCTGTCCAACATTAGGACCTGCAGCAGGAGCACCCACGGCCCCTCCACCACTAGGACTCGCAGTACCCCCAGTCTCAGCACCCCCAGAACCAGTACCCCCAATCTCAGCACCCCCAAGACCAGCACCTCCTGTGTCCTCAACCCCAGTGTCACCACCCCCTGCAGCACCAATGTCTACAGCTACAGGCTGCAGAGGTGGTGAAGACGGTTGAGGCAAAAAACCAGGAGGGGTATCTAAGCTTGGAGAGCGACGAGTGGCCGCCGTGTCGTCAGCGGCAAGGTCACCCCCCTCAGCCGGGCCAGAGGAGTCATGAGAGATCTCCAAAGGCTCAACTAAGGGGGGTGGGTCTACATGAGACACACCTGAGGGAGCAGGACCCTGTGGGGAGAGGGGGTCTATCGAGGGGGGAACTGGTACCAGGGAGAGAGGCGCCAGGGGGACCGGGTGGGATGCGTGCGGGTGGAGCCTGTAGAAACAGACTGACTCATCAAAGGTGACGTCATGGGAGGAGAACACGTGACGCTAGCGAGGGTAGTAAAATTGCCACGGCGGGGCGTCGGTGGGGAAGCCCAGGAAGGCGCAGCGGAGAGTGCGAGGAGAGAGCTTGCTCGCGGTGGTATTGCGAACAAGGGAGAGCGCGCCCCAGACCCAAAACACCGACGCATCGCCAACCTTCCCTATCCACCGGAGTGTGGGCGAGGTCTCTAGCTCAGAGTCACGGGGCCAGAGGTTGAACTGATGCGCAGCGTATCGGACCGCAAACGATCACAGAAAATGGGGAGCAGCCGCATGGATCATGGAGGTACGAGCAACCTCCATGATCAAGCCAATGCGACGCTCAGCAATCCCTATTTGCTGCGGAGAGGCCGGAAGCATGAACGTCTGGGTGATGCCCTCGTCTCTACATAACTCCGCAAGGAGGCCGGAAGAAAGCTCACCACCTCTGTCAGAGTGCAGACGCAGGACTGGAAGGTCCTGCCGGAATCGCTCGCGCAGCTCGTGACGAGTAGCGCGGATCCAGGGGATCAAAACACCGCTAACGTCCGCCTTGCTGCGCAAGGGGAAGACGGTGGTGTAGCGCGTGTAGTCGTCAACGATCAGCAGGAAGTAGCGCTCCTGGTCTGTCCCACTGACGGGGGCCGGGCCCCACACGTCCATGTGGAGAGTCTGCATAGGAGCAGTAATCGGAGGAAACGAGGAGTGAGGAGCAGCGCGCTGCCGCCCCTCGACGCAGGGAAGGCACGGCGGGGCAGGCGAGCGCGGAAGGGGGGGCAGGGACCTGGGAAGGCCAGAGACAAGGAGATGGGAGTGCATGCTGCGGAGACGTGGTAGAGAGGGGTGACCGAGTCTGTGGTACCAGATGAGAGTCTGGTGGGAGAGTACCCGACATGAGCACGACGCAACGAACTGACCGGACGCAGACACCCGACTCGATGCAGCCACCTGACCTGACGCAGCCACCTGTGCACACGCAGTAGTCAGGGTGTACAGAGTGGACCCAGGCTGCCGAGTGAACGTAGCAAGGTGACGGCCAGTCCGTGAGCACGTACAGCTCGCCACACGCTACCCTCCAGGGGTAAAGGTATCAACCCAAACATCCTTAAGGACTGCGTTGCTCACTAAGTTCGTCAAGATTGAGGGGAGGTGGAGGCCTGAAAGAGAGCCAGAGGGGACTGCCGGACACGGGAGGACAGTGGAGGCTCGTCCGACGACGGGGCCCCCAGAGGGGTCAACTAGTGAGACTGGGACAGGTGCAGCAAGTGGTGTGACTGTGGTGCAATCACGAAAGAAGCAACGAGACGCGCCAGAGTCAAGTGTGAAAGTGTGCAAGGCGTCAGCTGAGGCAGCAAACTCACTAGCACTTGTGGCAGCAGACGCACTAGCACCTAGAGTGGAAGCAGACTCACTAGCACCTAGAGCAGCAGCACCGACACTACTAGAGACACGTCGCTGAGAAGACCACTCCCGAGGCTGTTGCGGCGAGGGGGTCTCCGGCTGACTCTGCTGCCGCTGTTGTCTAGTACCTCCAGGAACATATCCTCCACCACCAGGACGGCCTCGCTGAATAACCCACTTACGAAGCTGCTGTGGCGAGAGAGTCTCCTGGCGACGAGACTGCCCCTGCTGTCCAGTACCGCCCGCATGCAAGTAATCCCAAGCTCCAGGACCAGAGCGGCCTCGCTGAATAACCAACTCACGAAGCTGCTGCGGCGATAGAGTGTCTGGGTGAGGCAGTGGCTGCTGTTGTTCACCTCTAGACGCTGCTACGACCGTGATAGTGGCCATGACAGGCAGTGGCAGTCAGTAGCAGCGGCTCAGGTGGAAGCAGCAGTGCAGGTGGCAGCAGTAGCGCAGGCGGCAGCAGCAGCTTAGGTGGCAGCAGCAGCGCAGCAGCACAGCAGCGAGCCTAAGGGCAGGGCGGCGTGCGGACCTAAGGGCAGGGCAGCGCAGTGCGCGAGCTGCAGGGCAGGGCGGCATGCGTGCCTAAGGGTAAGGCGGCGCGCGGGCCTAAGGGCAGGGCAGCGCAGCTCGCGGGCTGCAGGGCAGGGCAGCGCGCAGGCATAAGGGCAGGGCGGGCTGCAGGGGCGAGCGCGGGCAGCAGGGGCGAGCGCGGGCAGCAGGGGCGAGCGCGGGCTGCAGGGGCGAGCGCAGCTGCAGGGGCGAGTGCGGGCTGCAGAGGCGAGCGCGGCTGCAGGGCAGGGCGGCGCGCGGGCTTAAGGGCAGGGCCGAAAACATTTACGGGCAGGGCAGGGTTGAACGTTCGGTGGGACTGGGGTTGTACTCTATACTGAGCACCTCACTGTAGCCTAGCAGAACTAAGAACATACAAATATGTGTTGACAATACCGTGGGACATGGAGCCTAGCCTATGATAGTAATATCGATACACACTTGGAAAAACATCAAGAGTTGTCAGATTTGTTTGTTTGTTTGCTGTTTTTAGACATGGTTTGAAAAGCCTAAACTCTTCGAATATGCGGGTACCGGAGGAGGAAACACCCGTATGATTCTTTTTTTTGCACTTATGCGCAAGATGAGAACAAAACAATACTGTTCCATTTGCCACCAATTATAGTACATGTAGTAGCAGGCCTCCACCTTGCACCAAGTACTGTAGTACATGCTTTCACATGCGTTTCATACCTTATGGTAAGGTTACATCCATACACCTGCACTGCACATCCACTTGACAGCATCTACCCAGGAACTCTGCCACCTCTTCTACATCTACCAGCATATCTCCCTTGCACCTTGTTTCCAACAAACAAACCCAGCTCTCTCCACAACCTCATTTCATCCTGATAGGAACCACTGCTTAAAATCCTTGATTCCTGCCTCTCCTCCTGCTGCACTTACCGTTGCTGAAACCATAATCCCCAGCTCCCCCTGCCCCTCCGCCTCTCATCTCCATCGCCTCCATCCGTGCAGCCAGCACTGCCAGCTGCGAGCTGTAGTGATCCCGAGGGGATGCAGACACATGCTCAGCCCCAGCCGCTGCTCCTGATTAGAATCCTTGTTTCCCGCCTCTCCTGCTGCTCTTCCCACTGCTGAAACCATACTTGCCAGCCCCCCCTGCCCCTCTCATTTCCATTGCTTCCATGCATGCAACCAGCACTGCCAGCTGCGCTGTAGCCATTCTGAGGGGATGAAGAAGCATGCACTAGTGATTACAATCCTTGTTTCCCGCTTCTCCTGCTGCTCTTACCGTTGCTAAATCCATACTTCCCAGGCCCACCTGCCCCTCCCCCTCTCATCTCCATTGCTTCCATCCGTGCAGCCAGCACTGCCAGCTGCGAGCTGTAGTGATCCTGAGGGGACACTGACACATGCTCGGCCCCTGCAGTTCCTCCTGCTGCCGCCCGTGCCATATCCCCTGCCGTTGCTTTGTCCCCTGTATCCTCTCTCTCACCGGATGGGCTGATTGCACCTGCTTCAGATGAGGTGCTCCTGCTCTTACTGCTGCTCCTGCTCTTGCTCCCACTGCTGCTGCTGCTGCTGCTGCTGCTGCTGTTCCGGTTGTTGCCACTGCTGCTCTTACTGCTGCTCCTGCTCGTACTGCTGCCGTTTCTGCTGGTACTGCTCTTGGGAGTGCTGGCAGCAGCAGCCGCGGCCAGGTGAAGAGCTTGCATCCAGAGAGAATAGGAGTCACGGTCAAGCCTGGATGGGATTGACGGAGTGAGGCGAGGGGAATGAGTGGTTGTAAAAGTGAAATAAGGGGAGCAAATGAGGGGCAATGGCATGGCAGTATGAGCAGCAGCAGCAGCCATGTGAAATGCTTACATCCAGAGAGAATAGGAGTCACGATCAAGCCTACAAAGGATGGAGGTGGAAGCAGAAAGGAGGAACGGGGAGTGAGAGGCAGCGGCAGCGGCAGTGGCAGTGGCCAAGGCAGCGGCAGCGGCATCTGCAGTGCTTGCATCCAAATCCCAGCAGCTCAGCAGCTCAGCAGCCAAAGAGGCCAAGGCAAGGCAATCAGAGGCTGCAGGGAGTGTGTGTGTCCGCATGCACCCTTGCTGCTCTCCTGCCAACTCTCCTTTCTGCCGCCTCCAGAGACCTGACCGCATCAGTGGGCCGCCCAGCAGCCAGGCAGCCCGCAGCAAAGGCATTGAGGGCTACAAGCAGCAGGGGGAGGGAATGGAAAACAAATTGCCTGCTCACCTGCCAGCCCTTCTCTCTGCTGTCTCCATCGCCCTCACCGCATCAGTGGGCCGCCCAGCAGCCAGGCAGCCCGCAGCAAAGGCATTGAGGGCTACAGGCAGCAGGGGGAGGGAATGGAAAACAAATTGCCTGCTCACCTGCCAGCCCTTCTCTCTGCTGTCTCCATCGCCCTCACCGCATCAGTGGGCCGCCCAGCAGCCAGGCAGCCCGCAGCAAAGGCATTGAGGGCTACAGGCAGCAGGGGGAGGGAATGGAAAACAAATTGCCTGCTCACCTGCCAGCCCTTCTCTCTGCTGTCTCCATCGCCCTCACCGCATCAGTGGGCCGCCCAGCAGCCAGGCAGCCCGCAGCAAAGGCATTGAGGGCTACAGGCAGCAGGGGGAGGGAATGGAAAACAAATTGCCTGCTCACCTGCCAGCCCTTCTCTCTGCTGTCTCCATCGCCCTCACCGCATCAGTGGGCCGCCCAGCAGCCAGGCAGCCCGCAGCAAAGGCATTGAGGGCTACAGGCAGAAGGGGGAGGGAATGGAAAACAAATTGCCTGCTCACCTGCCAGCCCTTCTCTCTGCTGTCTCCATCGCCCTCACGGCATCAGTGGGTCCCCCAGCAGAAATGCAGCCCGAGGCAAAGGCGTTCACTGCTACCACACTACCAGTGGCCTGAGTTTGAGTTTATGCCTTTATCGCCTTCCTGTGTTTCAAGAATTGCTCACCTGCCAGCGCGTCTCTCTGCTGCCTCCATCGCCCTAACGGCATCAGTGGGCCGCCCAGCAGCCAGGCAGCCCGCAGCAAAGGCGTTCAGTCCGGCGGGGGAGAGGGAGAGGGCAGCTGCCTCACACTCTGCCACATAGCGACTCGCTGCCTCCACTCTTCCCACCTTGCTGCCAGGAGGAGCAAGAGTTTTGGTAGAGAAAGAGAAACAAAGCGAAGGAGTTCAGTGCAGCAGGGGAGAGGGGGAGGGCAGCTGCCCCACACTCTGCCACGTATCGACTCGCCGCGTCCACACGACCACCTTGCTGTGAGGGGAATATGTGGGAATCTCAACTCATATTGGGAGTGAATGAGAATCAAAGAAAAGGCGTTCAGTGCCGCAGGGGAGAGGGAAAGAGCAGCTGCCTCACACTCTGCCACGTAGCGACTCGCAGCCTCCGCTCTTCCCACCTTGCTGTTATAGGAACACATTGGTATTGCGAACAAAAGCTTCAGGGAAACCAGGGGAGAGAGAAAGAACACTCGCCTCGCACTCTGCCACGTATCGACTCGCAGCCTCCGCTCTTCCCACCTTGTTGTTATGGGAACACATTGGTATTGCGAACAAAAGCTTCAGGGAAACCAGGGGAGAGAGAAAGAACACTCGCCTCGCACTCTGCCACGTATCGACTCGCAGCCTCCGCTCTTCCCACCTTGCTGTTATGGGAACACATTGGTATTGCGAACAAAAGCTTCAGGGAAACCAGGGGAGAGAGAAAGAACACTCGCCTCGCACTCTGCCACGTATCGACATGCCGGGCCCACTCTTCCCACACTGCTGCTGCGGGATGGGTGCAATTGGTTTGAAGAGGGGAGTTTCACCAGAGAAAATTACCAGAACTAGTTACACGAGCTAGTTAAAAGAGCTGAATCACCAGGGCAAATTTCCATACCTGACTAGTAAGCGAGCGCATCGGGAGCGTATCCGGTTCGTCTCATTGTCTCAATGGTGTTTTCGGCTTCTTCCCACAGGCCTTCGCGTGATTGGGCGGCAAGCAAAGCAATATAGGTGGCTGTGTTTGGCGTGTGCTCGGCACACTTCATCGCTTCAAAAACCGCTGCTGCGTCAGCGGCCGATCCGCACCGTCCAAACGCGTCGATCAGACCGTTGTAGGTCCGCCGATTTGGGCGGCAGCCAGATCTCCGCATCGCCTCTACGGTAGCTTCGACTTTCGGCAGCATCTGCGCCTGTCCGTAGCAGCGAATCAGGGTGTTCCACGTCACCACGTCGGGCTTGATCCCGCTCGCTGCCAGCTCATCCATGACCCATGCCACGTCAGCAAAGAGCTTGTTTTTCCCGTAAATATCCAGGAGAATGTTGAAGGTGAAAAGGTTTGGGAAACAGCCCTGCTGCTGCATAATCTCGTAAGTTTCCCTCACTTTTTCAACCTGCCCGCCCTTCCCGTACGCTGCTATCAGGGCAGTGTAGGAAAAAACATCCGGTTTGGGCGGGAGAATAAGATCCTCCTTACTTTCCCTCTTCCTCGAAGCTTCTTGCTCTGATTTCCCAACCAACACTCCTGCTCTCTCGACCCCTCCCTCCTCCCCCTCCTTGTTCCCCCTCTGACCTACACTATTCACCCCTTCTCCCCTCCCTTCCACCACCTCTCCCGCCACTCCTTCCCCCACTGCCAATCCTCCTTCTATCTTAACCGCCTCAACCATCGCTTTACCCTCTCGTTTACCTTTCCCCTTCGCCTCCGCTCCCCCCACCGCCTCCCCTTCCCCTTTCTCCTCCGCCTTCCCCCCACCCTCCGCCTTCCCCTCCGCCTCCGCCTCCCCCCCGAGCAGCATGGACTCCACAATCCCGCGCGCCTCCCGCCACAGCCCCTTGCGCGCGCACGCGCTGATCATCTCGTTATAAGTCACCAGATTCGGCCGCACGCCCGCCTCCAGCATGGATTCCAGCACCGAATGGGCGAGTGCCACGTGGCCTGCCTTCCCGTACACGTCCAGCAGCGCGTTGTACGTGACACGTGTCGGTTTCAGCCCTGCCGCCCGCATCTCGGAGAAGATTCGCTCCGCTTCTTGGATATACTGGGCGGCACTGCTGCTGACACTGTAGCTGCTGCTGCTGCTGCTGGAACTGTAGCTGTTGTTTGTCGTGTTGTGGCTGGAACTGTAGCCAGTGTCACTATCGCTACTGTCACTGCTGCTATCCGCTGCTGCTGCTGCTGCTGCTGCTGGTAACCCTTCCTGTGCTGGTAACACTCCCACTCCCTTCCCTCCCGCCCGTGTTACCATTACTGATCCTGCTCCTCCTCCTTCTGCTGCTGCTGCTGCTGCTGACCTGGCTGTAACCGTTGCAGAAGCAGTTACAGTTGCTGCTGCTGTCACTGTTCCTGCTTCTGCTGCTGCTGTTCCCGCCGGCGGTCCTGTCACAGCAGCAGCAGTACAAGGCACATCCCCGAAATCCTCATTCGCAATCGCATCAGCACACGCCGAGATCATCGTGTTATATGTATACTCATCGGGCGTCAATCCAACGGTCCGGATCTCCTGCAGCAGCGACGCCATGTGATGAAAACACCCGCGCTTGCGCGCGTACGCGGCGAGAACGACATTGAATGTGACTATAGAGGGCGCCACGCCCGCATCGGCGCGCATCGAGTGGAAGAGCGCGATCGCGTCGTTGAAGCGCCCCGCGCGCGAAAGCGCGCTCATCATGGCCGTATAGGCGTAGACGTCGAGCGCGCACCCATCCGCCACGAGCGCGCGGAACAAATCGTCCGCCTCCTGCGCGGGGAGAGAAGGGGGGGAAGGGGATGGGGGTGGGGGGTGAGGGGAAGGGCACTGGAGGGATCGGCGGACAGCAGGGGAGGGGGAGGAGGAGCGAGAGCGCGCTTATGATGTAACGTCCGGCGCGCTCCTGGTCGCATCTTTAGTTGCAATCACATTCGGCCGGTCCCCTCCCTCGTTACACTCACATTCGGGCGGTCGCATCGGCTCAGTATGCGCAGCACCAGCGACACCATCGGATTCCCGCGCTCCCGCCAAGCCTCTTCCCCCTCCGCGCAGCTTCCGCCGATCTTTCCGCACCCGCGCGCCCAGTGAAACACCGCAACCGCATCCCGCCACCGCCCCTTGTTTCCCAACCCCTTCAGTATCGCCATAATATCACTCGCCGATATCTCCCCCGAAGATTCCCCTTCCCCTTTCCCCAGCTCTTCCCCGTCCTTTCCGCATTCCGGACCATCCGCGCGCCCATCGCCCGCCCGCCCCTGCGCACGTCGCGACCACCGATCCACTCTCCCGAAGTTCCCTGCCCTCCCCTGCTGCCTCTCCGCCTCTGCTCCCGCAGATGCGCCGAGCACCCGTTCCGCTTTCCCCCGCTCCCCGTCCGCGCCGAGCAGCAGCCGGCGGAACGCGCGCTGGCCGGCGGTGGAAATCCCCAAGTTCCACGGCTGCCCCAACCGCCGCTCCTTCCCCAGACGCACCCTCCGCCGATGCCCCTCCTCCTCCTCCTCGTCAGTCAAACTCCCCTCGTCTTCCGCCCGGGCTCCCCCCTCCCCCCGCCGCTGCTCCGCCTGCCCGCTTTTGCGCCTCTGCGCTTCTCCGCTCCGCCCACAGTCGTCCCCCTTTCCTCCGCGCGTCGCGTCGGCGGAGGGCGCCAGGCGGAGGACGCTGGAAATCGCCCAAACGGTCTGCGTGGAAACACGGGAAACCCTTTTCGGCCCTGCACCGACATTCTGCGGGAAAACTGGCGACGAATCGCGAGTTGTCGCGCATTCCAGCCGATTCGTCGCATTGGGTCGCAGCAGCGACGGTTTCCGCGACCGAAACATTAGCGCAGTCGCAGCAGCACTCGCAGAGGTAGCGTCGCTAGTCGAGCCGCTCTGACGATCATGCGAGCCAGGACTCAACGGCGAAACTGCCGCGAAGGAACTAGCCCCGGCGGCTTCAACCGCGGGGATCACGGCACCGGAAGCGCCGGAAAACGTGGGAGCGATCGCGTCCCCGTCTGCAACGGCGGCGGCGGCTGTGGTGGCTGCGGTGGAGGAAGACTGGCTGTATCCGCGATAAGAAGAGGTGGCTGTTAAAAGCGGAGATAACGGCGACGCGGTACTATGGTGTACGAAGCGTGACGGCGACGCGGCGGCAGCAGTGGGGAGTGAGTGGCTGGAATGTGGATGACGAATGGAAATCGCAGTCGGAAGAGCGGCAATGGATGCGCAAAGCTGTGGCGGAATGCCGGCGACTGGCGGAGGAAACGCCATAGTGGGAGCAGAACCCTCCCACTGTCGCCCACGCGTGTGCTTGCGAGTGGACTCACAAGCCGAGGAGTCGACTCGCGGAGACCGATCGACTAAGAAACTCGACCTTACGCACCGTCGCGCACGATTCTATGGCGCAAGGCCCCACGCTTCGAAGCTGCGAAACGAGTGATTTCGCTCGACCGTCAAGGATCTGAGATAGATCGCTGGAGCTGGATGTGAGGGGAGAGGGTTTGTGAGCGGGAATGGCAACTGCGTGAAGATCCCATGGTGTGGAGGAATGCTGCGAGGTTTAAAACGAGCTTGTGAAATGGACGATAACGAAATAGTCAACGAGTGGTTACTGAACACAAATGAAATCTCGCATAAGAGCTTCAGATTGCGGGAAATCCTGGGTTTCGGGGTGATGTGGACGTGGCACTTGATGGAGATTCTGCACAGGCAGATTTATAACGAAGAATTCCTGATTGGAGCACTTTCGCTATTAAGAGAGATATCTGAACATATCTATATATTTTAGAATGACTGCCTGCTGCTGATGTACTGATAGCATTATGAATGTGCTTGTTCTAACTCTCATATCCAACTTCTTTGCAAATCTACGGAAGCTTTCCTGACTGCCTAGACCATTGCACCACAGTATATGAACAATTAGCTCAAATCGAAGCAAACAGTGTAATTAAAAGTGAGACGATACAACCTTGTCGAACATGTAAGTGGATTTCTATTGTTTCCTTAAGCTTTCATCTTCCTGCTTCAACAACTGATTCGCTTTAATAACCGACGGCTTGACGTTGTTCACAGAGCGGCGGCAATAGAGAAATGGCCATCGGCTCGTGAGCATCTAGTCAAGCCTTGGCATCCTTAATACACCACAAAAGTGTCCCTGCACAAACAAACAAAAAAATAAACTAGTAAGTGCTTCAAATGTGAAGGCGCCTTGGTTTTGAAGCTAGGCTCATTGCCTTCCCCACCTCTCCACAGCAACCAGATGTCTGTGCGAAGTTTATCCCATATGCAAAACTCTGCGCACGGTTTCTCACATTTGTGCATACAGCAAAGCAGATTGGCTTGAAGCAGCTGCTTGCAACCTGATTCAATGCATTCCAAACCTGCATGTGTAATTCACGACGAGAAATACAAAGCAGTGAGCTGCTAGCTGAATCCATCTAGTACTAAATACATAAATTAACAATTTAGTGCAGAAATGGGACTGCTACTTACCTTGCAATAGCAAAAGGGACATTGCTCCTTCGTATCAAGAGGACTTGGGGAGAGGTCGTGATAGAGCCTGAAATTTTGATACATTACAACAGCTTATAGGAGGTTTCAGAGAACAATCTTGAAGCGACTACTGACAAGCGAGGAAGGGAGAAGGAGCAAGCGAGGAAGGTCCCAAGAAACAAGGCAGTAATGCGTTCGTACCTAAAAGGTGCAAGGCAGAAATGTGGGATGGCGAAGGGGGAAGGGGAAAGATAGAAAGACAAGCAAAGCGGCGACAAAGAGGGGGTGAGGGAGGTGCAAGGAAGAAAAATAGTGTTGACTGAGCACCTGGTGTGTGTGAAGGCAGAAATGTAGCCCCGGCAGACAGAAAGACCCCACCAGTTGACAGGTGGCTTAAGCAGAGCAAACGACAATCCTGCCACCTCCTCAGCTCGAGAGGAGCAATCAGCAGGGGGAATACAGTCAGTTCCGGTGAGGCAGTCAACTGGAGAGTGATAGCCAACTTCTGGAGCACCAGTGGCAGCACAAGCTCTCACCTGGCTTGGCCGAAAGAGCTGGCCTGCGCTGAGCTTAACATTATTAGAAAAGCATTCGTCTAAACAGCCGAACAGACCCAAAAACCGCCTGTTCAGCATGTAATGTGTCCTCAATTTCTTCATTGCTCTCCGCCCTTCTCCCTGCAAAAACCATGCGTTGCCAGTGGCGGTGACTTCCTGAGCCACATGCTGCTGGCGTACAGGTTCTATCTCTCCATTGCCCCCGAGTTTGTCTACACATCCAGCTGCTGCTGCTGCTGTGACCAACTGTCCAACGGTATCCACATTCGGTAAATGATGCCTGGGAACGAGGGTTCTCTGGTTGATGCTCACACGTGCTGCTACAGCCAGTGCTGTGGTCTGTCGTGCTGCTTCAAACACCGTACCTCTCTCTTGTACCTCTGCTGCTGCTGCTTCTGCTTCTGCTTCTTCTGTTGCTACTATTGCTGCTGCTACTGCTGCTACTGCAGCTGCTTCTGTACTTAGCATAAAACCCTGAGTTATCCACTGCCATCCCTTGAAAGCTTCACTAGCAGCACGAGAAACACCGAGAACCTTTCTCCTGGCAGCACGGCAAGCACAACAACAGCCTTTCTTGGCACAGCGGCAAAAAAACCGAGAACCCTTGACTGTCACATACATTGGGATCAAAAGCACAACGAGCCCTACCAGTGCAGCCTTGGACACAGCGAGGTAGTTCCACTTTTGAGTTGCCCCAAAAGCCCATCTCACTCCACTAACCACACGCTTGCACATACTTGACAGAGTCATCCGGGGTCCCACGACAGCAGCAGCAACGGTTTCAGCTTCGGTTTCATCTCGGGTTTCAGCTTCGATTTCATCCTGGGTTTCAGCTTTGATGACATTCTCTGCTGAAATCGGGGTCGACTGAACGCGCTGGCGGAGTAATAGGTGCCGTTGCCGTCCTGACGGCCAGAGATACAGATCCATGATGTCTGGAGAGGCCAGGCTGAAGGGTACCTCGAGAATACCGGGAGAGTAGCTGAGAAGCCGCGGAGAAATTGCCTCGACAGGACCTACCAGCGTTTCCATTCCCGGGATCAGTGGGTGATCTCTTTTACAGGCAGCACACACTTCAGAAAAGCAGCACTTGTCGCTCTTAGTTGCAGTAAAAGGTAGTTTCTGTGACGAAATGGGATTGGTTGGATCAATCTGAAAGCGGCTGGACCTGTGGTGATCTCGTATGCGGATGTGACAGTAGCGAGGCCAGAGGTGGGAAGTTGATATCCGGTACAGGTGCTTGCACGTGATGGCTAGGTTGGCAGTGGTGATTGGGAGCTTATGGCATGTCATACTCGTTATAGACGCAAGGAGCTCGGGAGTCAGATCCAGCAACCCGGTAAGCCGCTCTTCGGTAGCAGCCGTGTTGTTCTCCATTCGTGCATTCTTAGGAAAACCAGACAGATGAAATAAAACTGGCCGGGGTTATCGGATTGTCACACCCCTCCGTCCGTGTGCTAGAAGCATCATACGCCTTTCATCGCGGAAAAGGAAGAAGGCAAAAAGGCATATCGTATGTGACATCGACCATCCTAATGTCTATCCTGATTCAGGCCACTACTGGAGATTGGTTTCAACAATTCTGGTCGATGTCACATACGGTATGAATGGGTAGTCAGCCTCAAATCAATATTAGAATCCTTTTGTGATGTCTCGCAACGGTGCCTTTCGATAATAAATTGTTTAGGTCTGCCTTTAATAAGTATCTGTCTTTGACCGAAAATAGGAGACTTGTCCATTGCGATCGGAAAACACCTCGCTGGGAGTAATCTCCAGAGCGGACTCAGCGGATCGACACAGAACTCAACGACTTGTTGACCTAGCCGTTGAGAGTTGTGTCGAGAGAGAGTCAAAGAAAAGGCTCGTGAAGTTGGATTGACTCGCGAGAGCAATGCGAAATCGAGCGACACATTTAAATCCACTAACATGCAGCAGAGAGCAACTCGTGGACAGAGCATGACTGCTACTAGTACGTGAAACATGCTTGCGGGTGAAACCTGGAAACTTGCGCGACTGGTAGCGACTGGTAGCGACTGGTTGGAGCAGGAAACTTTGACTAATGGTTGTGACCAGTAGGTGATGGGATAGGGACTAGATAGACTTCCAAATACAGATGTTTTGGGTTAGAGGCCTTCGCTAAAAGAGTCCATTTTCCCCCTTGAGTAGAGTTTTCCGATATCGCCTAGGTTTGGCCCGACCCCTATAGTCCCTTTTTGGCGGGAAAATTTGCAGCTTGACCGAATCATTGCACGAATCAGCTCCGCAGCCAATCAGAGGCTCCAGATCGAACCAGCCCAACATTCAGGGAGAACGATAAATAAGGGATCATCGATTCGATATTTAAGTTTGGAATTGTAAGTAATTGTTTCTCTTGACCGTGATTACTTTTCAATCCTGTCGTGCGGTCTCCAGCGCGCTCGACGATGACATCTCATTTATCTCGCTTACAGGGTAAACTTGTAGTTTTTACCTTCTGTTCGACCCCCAAAACATAATTGATTTTGTTTTGTTTTGCCCGTTAGTCATGCGGACATTGATCAGCGCGGGGAACCGTGCAACGAGAAGTTAAAGCAAGAGTGGTCCGAATCTACGTAAAAGAAGAAATCCAAAAACTAGTAGCAAACAAACCACTCTTCATGCATTTTTCTTTAACGGGACTATAATTATCGCGTTTTGCCCGGGGTTTGAAGGTTTTCGCACATAGTCCACGCGCGGCGTCTCATTCCGTCGGGCTATAAACGGGAACATCTGTAGTACGGAATTCTGGTTCAGGGGACTTTGACACAGTAG